TTTGTGTTTTTTTTTTTTTTTTTTGCATGAAAATAAACTTGTTCTTTAATTCTGTTTTCTCACACGCTTTTTGCAGTCCCCTGGTATTGGAAGGGGTGGTGATGGTTGTGTTGGCGTTGGTGGTGGCAATGGGAAGGCTGGTCACCAAGGAAGGGACCCGTTGCAGCAGGAGCGGGTAGTAAATGGGTGGTGCTGTAATAGGAGCAGGCGGGCAAGCCTTCCGGCCCTCTGATGTCTCTGATGTCGCAGGCACCGGGAGCTTCAGGTTGGTCCTGGAGGCCTCTGGATCCGGTCAAGCCTGTTGCCCTCCCTCAAGCGCCACTGCACTGCAGCTACTTCTGCCCCGGCCAGCCCAGCCACAGCTGAGGGAAAGGGGTGGGACAGAGGAGTGGGGGGCCAGCAGCAGCACCCAGGAACCTGCTCCAGCCTTGTCTGGTGGTCCGTGGGCATCGGGCTTAGCTAAGCTCTCAGGGACACGCAGACGCTCAGGACACCCACTAACAGGCAGGCTAACCAGCAGCCACCTCACTCTGGAGTCGCGCACACGCGCTGCGCCCAGGAAGCGTGCACGTGCATGTTCAGCGAGTGGCCCGAACAAACGCATCAGGCTCACATCCCACATGCACGCACTGGCGAGTCCCCACGTGGGACGCCACACACAAGTGCGCACACCGGCCAGACGGCGCGCAGCGCGGCTACTGGGGGCTGCGCCGGCCCACCCGCGCACGCGCAAAGCGGCGCTTCGCTAAGTGAAACCAGCAGGACCCACCGGCGGCCGAGCCAATTGGAGACTCCTTGGCCCTGGAAGCCCTCGCTGCTGCCGCCAAGAGACGCGGTCAATTAACTTCTCCCTGCAGCCGGGCTCCCTGACCTGCCCGCCCAGACTGCCCACCGCTCCTGCCGCCCCTCTCCCACCCACCGCCTCCTGGTTCTCTCACCCTGCAAATCTCCCCTCGGATGGGAGGGGCCCGGCGCCATGGCCGGTTGAAGGAGCTGTAGCCCTGCCTATTGATGGGACTAAGGGATGAGGCCTTTTCTGGGGGTAAATCAAGGGCCGAGGCCCTGCCCTGAGGTCTGTGGGGACACAGCCCTGCCTTGGGGCCAGGTCTCAGGGGATGCATTAAGCCCTGAAGGTCACTGGCGGCAGAGGCTGGGCCGGACTGAGTGGTTCCCAGGGCCGGATGGGGCCTTCGCCCTCAGACTCCCCTCCCCCCAGGTCAGCTGAAGGCTCACACTCTCTCCTGCAGCCACCTGCTAAGGGTAAACCCCCCCACTGCCATCCTCCAGGCCAGTGAGCCCAGTGCGTGGCAGCCACACCCAGCGTGTGAAAGGAAGGGCCGATCTGACAGAGGACAGGAGAAAAGGCCTGGCTGAGCCACCACACCCAGGGGCTGCCTGGACACGGGAGCTTCCAGAGAAGCAGTGGGTGGGGGTCTCCCACTTCCCCGCCCAGGCTCCCCACCCAGCCAGGGCCCTTCAGCAACCCCATCTCGGGACAGGGGCAGGGAGGGGTCGTTTGCTGGGGAAAGCACCAACTGGGAATCTGGGCCAGGATGGAAACTGGTGACTCCAGGGTCCCCGAGGGCTCCAGGACTTGAAGGACTCCAAGCTGGGCTTGTCTCCCCAGAGACCACCATTCCCTGTCCTTCCTCCCCGGTCCCCAACAGGCAGCCAGGATCCTGTGAGGCTCCATCTTGGGACATCGCATCCCGTTCCCATGCACCCCTGGGGAACGGCTGGACAGAAAAGACCAGTGGCCGCAGCCCAGGGTTACTGGCGGGCAGGCAGGGACAGCCCTGTTCCCACTGACCTGGCAGGCCGTGCTCAGAGCCACAGCTGCCATCTGTAAAATGGGCTCCAAGCGCACTTCTCGCAGGTCGCAGGCTATCCCTTCCCTCTGAGCCAGGGCCTTGGAAGGACTCCCTGTGGGGGTGGGGGCGCATGGCTCGGGACCCGCCCGGAAGTCCTGCCTACAGTCTGACCTTCGACTTGGCAGGTGGATGCAGATGACGTCATGACCAAAGAGGAACAGATCTTCCTGCTGCACCGAGCCCAGGCCCAGTGTGAGAAGCGGCTCAAGGAAGTCCTGCGGAGGCCAGGTGGGGGCGCGGCCGGGGGGGGCTTGGCCAGTGGGGGCGGGTACAAGTGAGGGCGCAGCCAGTGGGGGGCGTGAGCAGGTGGGGGCGTGAGCAGGTGGGGGCGTGGTTAGTGGGGGCTTAGCAAGGTAGGGCGTGGCCACGTGAGGGTCTGGGGGCAAGGCCTGGAGAGGAGGGACTGGACAAGTCAGGGGCCCAGGGTGCAGCCATGTGAAGGTGCCACTGAGTATGGCCCAGGTATGGGGGGGTCAGGGCAAAACGAGGGCCCCAGTGAGGTGGGTCAGGCTTAATCCTGAGCCAGGTCCCTGTGCTGCCCGGTCCCCAGCCTCTCAGGTGCCCTCACTCCTTGTACCTCCTAGAACACCCGCTCTCGGGAGGGGGTGGAGGAGAACGTGATCGGCGCATATCTGCCTCAGGTCCAGCCATCGCCTGGCACGTGCTCAGCCTCAGGCTGGCCCTCCCTGCAGAGCACACAGCCGCTGGCCCTACTCACACCTCCCCGCAGCTCCCGGCCTTGCCTGGTCTCCAGGCAGCCCCACCCACATCGGCGCCAGTGGCTTCAGTCAAGGGGGGGTCAGGTGGGCCCCCTCATTCTGGTCCAGAATGCAGCCCTGGGGGCTCCTCTCTGTGCCCTCCCATCCCGCCAGGAGCCCCTCTTTTCCCACTCAACCCCAGCCAGCTACCCTGACGCTCAGGGACAGAGGCTGGAAAGTGGGCCAGCCGTTCTGCAAGCCCAGGCTGCTTGGACACAGCGTCCCATGGGACGCAGACCCTGACGGCGGAGGAGGGCCAGGGGACCCTGGCTTGGGTGCACATCACATAATGAGGACCTTGCCTCTAGAAACAGACCCAGCAGCTCTTCAATGGAGAAAGGCCAGGCCCCATCCCGGGTAGAGGGGCTCCGGGGCACCTGTGGAAGGCGTGGGCCCCACTCGCGTGTCCTGGGAAGGGACTGAGTGTGTGACGAGCTGACCCCTCGCCCCGTCTCTCGCTGCTGCTGCACTCACTGCTCTGGGTCCACCAGAGCGGCTCCTTTTGCCAAACGCCCCCTGGTGGGCCCTCACTCCCGCATGGCCGCGCTTGGGCTCTGGCCCAGAGGGTACCACCTGTGCCCTGCCTCGCCCGCATTGGCTGCTCAGCCCAGGAGCGACACTCGGGTGGCATCCACTCCCCTGGGAGCCTGTCGGCAGCCTGCAGCTTGGGTACTTCTCCAGCTGACCAACACTCCCCGGGAAGCCTCCGCAGCAGCCTGGGGTGTCAGCAGGGCTGGGGACGACCCCCCCCACTGTACAGAGGGAGCATATGAGGCAGTAGGTCCCCAGGGCTCAAGTGCAGCAGAGCTGACAGGCGCGCCCCCAATTCCTCCAGCCAACATAATGGAGTCGGACAAGGGCTGGCCAGCGGTGTCCACCCCAGCGAGACCCAGGAAAGAAAAGGCAGCTGGGAAGCTCTACCGCGAGTCCCAGGAAGACAAGGGGGCGCCCCCTGGCAGCAGGCACAGAGGTAGGGGGCGCGTCCCTGCAGCTGGGCTCTGGCCCAGTCCTGCGAGGCAGCCTCTCCCCAGGAGGCAGGGCAGGGGCTGGGAGGAGACGGCCCACAGGGCAGCAGGCTGGGGGAGGCTGGATGATGTGGGCCGGGGCTTGCCCAGGAGTGGACCAGGGATGCAGCCCTCCTATGGGAAGAGAGAGATGGCAGGCAACCCCTGGAGGACGGAGAGGCAGGGAGAGACAGAGAGAGGGAGAGAGGGAGAGGCAGGGAGAGACGAGAAGTCACAGAGTCAGAGAAGGGACCAGGAGACACAAACTTTAGTTTGAGAGGCAGCATGTCAGTGGAGGACCACGGGACATGCAATGGGGCAGCAAGGCCACAAAATAGCGAGAGAGGAGGGCCACGCAGAGGGCTGGGCTGGCGACAGGGGACAGGAGGGGAAGAGCAGGGAAGGGGAAGTGCAGGGCTGAGGTGAGGAGAGATGAACACAGACCCAGGCTGTGGCCGCAAGGCCGGTCTGAACCGGCCGGGTGGGCAGCAGATTCCAGATGGGCCACATCTGGGCGGCTGTGGTCACCCTGTGGCTCCTTGGGACCAGAGGGAATTGTGGGCCTGGCTGGGCGGGGCTGAGAATATGGCGCCCAGGACAGAGAGCCTTTCACCAAGCCGGGCGGGGCGGTGGTCACGGCAGCCTTCCAGGGGGCTGGAGAGTCCTGTGGCTGGAGACACAGGCAGGGTGGGGGCAAGCGACCAGGGTAGGGGTGCGGGTGTGGAAGAGAAGAGGCTGGACACCCGCCAAGGTCACTTAGCATCTCTGCAGCGAGAATGGGGCTCTCATGTGGGACGTGTCACCCTGCTCTGGAGGCACCCCTCCACTTAGAGTTGGGGGTCGCATCTCCCCACCAGAGCCTCAGAGCAGGTTCCCAGGACGGGGTGGAGGGGTGGAACTGCGGCTGGTGAAGCCTTTCCCACCTTCTCAGTGAGGAAACCACAGTGCTGACACCCGGATGAGGTGGGCGGCTCTCGGGGAGTCCAGCTGGCACCAGACCTCAGCCCTCCTGTCTCCTCTCCCCTGTCCCTGGAGGAGACACACAGGGAGCCTCCCAGCTGAGGGAGTTAGTCTGGGAACTGCCCCTGCTCAGGGACACCTGGGAGGGGGGACGGAGGGCAGAGAGGAAGGAGAGACCTGGCCGTGGGCCCTCAGCAAGTGGCTCACCCCTGCCGGCCTCTGCCAGCCCGTCTGGAAAGGGGCCCAGCGCGTGGCAGGGTGGCAAGTCCTGTGAGCCAGGTGGGTGCACGCAAGAACGAGGGCTCCAGCGTCCCCTCCCAGAGGCTCCACGCCTGACTGCCAGTCCTGGGACACCCCTGTCCCTTGGGGAACCAACACGCCACAGGCGTGTTCACCCTCTGGGTCTCTAACGACGGACCGGCGCTCCCGCCGCGTCCCCTACCCTGGCTGTCTTTGGGCACAGGGCGTCCCTGCCTGCCCGAGTGGGACCACATCCTGTGCTGGCCGCTGGGGGCGCCAGGAGAGGTGGTGGCTGTGCCCTGCCCGGACTACATCTATGATTTCAACCACAAAGGTAAGGCCGCGGGAGGGGGTGAGGACCACCGCGAAGCCGGGATTTGGGAGCCCAGGGCTTCAGTGGCCCCAGACCTCGCCCCACCGGCCCTGACCCTCCCGCCCCCTGCAGGCCATGCCTACCGCCGCTGTGACCGCAATGGCAGCTGGGAGCTGGTGCCCGGGCACAACCGGACGTGGGCCAACTACAGCGAGTGCTTCAGCTTCCTGACCAACGAGACTCATGACCGGGTGCGAGCCCTCCCGTCCCCACCCTGACGCCGTAGGTCGCACCCAGCCCACCAGGGATCCTAGAGTCCTGACCTTGGCCGCTCCAGAACCCTCCCTGGCCTCTGACTCTTCCCTGATGCTCGCCCGAGTGCCGGGCCTGACTCTCCCCACCTGCACAGGAGGTGTTCGACCGCCTGGGCGTCATCTACACCGTGGGCTACTCCGTGTCGCTGGCCTCCCTCACCGTGGCGGTGCTCATCCTCGCCTACTTCAGGTGGGCGGGGCGAGGGGCGGGGCCTGGGCGGCGAGGCCGAAGCGTGGCGACTCCTCCCCGCCCTCACCCACGAACCTCCTGTCGCGCCGCAGGCGGCTGCACTGCACGCGCAACTACATCCACATGCACCTGTTCCTGTCCTTCATGCTGCGCGCCGTGAGCACCTTCATCAAGGACGAGGTGCTCTACTCGGGCGCCACGTTCGATGAGGCCGAGCGCCTGGTGGAGGAGGAGCTGCGCGCCATCGCGCGGTCACCCCTGCCGCCCCCCGCCGCCGCCGCCGGCTACGTGAGTGCGCCCCTCCAGCCCTGCCCCGTCGCCCCCGTGGCCGCACCTCCAGCTCTGCTTCAGCGCCTGTGCTTAGGGCTCTGTGAGCACCCCTGCCTCGCTGGGCGCCCCAAGCCTTCCAGCTCTTCACCTTGCTCCTGCCGGGGGACCCCCAGCCCTAGCCACCACCACCGCACACCATCCCAGCCCTGCTCTCCCTCCGTTGTCCCAGCCCCCAGCCCAGCCCTGACTCCCCTATCCAGGCCCTGCCCTCGCCTAACCCAGCTGGTCTCCTAGGCGGGCTGCCGGGTGGCGGTGACCTTCTTCCTCTACTTCCTGGCCACCAACTACTACTGGATCCTGGTGGAGGGCCTGTACCTGCATAGCCTCATCTTCATGGCCTTCTTCTCAGAGAAGAAGTACCTGTGGGGCTTCACGGTCTTCGGCTGGGGTACGGCAGAGGCACCGGGGTGGTACTGTGGGCGGCAGGGTGAGAGGGCACCCCTGCAGCAGCCGCACACCCGTTGGGGCTCAGGACCTGCTTGGCCAGGGGTCCATGTTCTTCTGCTTGCCGCTCACTGGGCTCAGGTCAGGGCTCTGGAGGCTCTGCTCAGGGAGCAGGCCAAAGGGCTTCAGGGTAAGGTTCAGCTGCAGATGAGATCAGCGGTCTGGAGGGGCCTTGGGTTGAGCTGGGGTCTGGGGCCGCCTCTAACCCGGCCTGGGTGGGCTGGGCCAGCATCTGCTGCACCTGCCCCGATTTCCTCAGCAGGAGGGTGGGGAGCAGCCCACACCCTTCAGCCACCACAGAGCCACGCCCGCCTAGGATTCCTCTGGGCCACCGGGCCTCTGCCTCCCCCAGCCCATGTGGGCTCTAAGATCCGGTTTCTGATAATTGTCCATTATTCTTGGCAGCGCGTGAGTTTGGCTGGGCTCTGGGCGCCTGGCGGGCCGGCAGCGCTGAGCACCGGGCCCAGCCTCCCAGCCCTGGCACACTCTCTGACCCTGCCTTGCCCACGGCCACCCCAGAGTGGGCAAGGACACAGGCTTGTGGGGGGGGGGAGGAAGTGTGCGGATCGCAGGGTGCACAGAACCGCACCACACCAGAGTCACGGGTTTTTCTTCCCGTAAGTCCAGGTCGCAAACCCAGGGCGGGCCTTTCCCTCCGAGGGTGCACCAGGCCTAGGGACGGGCTGAGGAGGGAGGACCCAGGGCTCCCTTGCCAGGACGAGGCTTGCTGAGAGGTAGTGAGCTGAGTGGCCAGGGTCAGGGCCAGGACACAGAGGCCCCCTGTGGCCCCTGCTTAGCCGCTGACCACATGCAGCCCATCCCACCTCAGCCATGAGGGCCAGCGCCTGCAAACCAGGATGGGGGTCTGGGGCAGAAAAACGTTGGCCATAGGCTCCCTGTGGGAGCTCCGAGCGAGGGCAGCGCCCTCTAGGGGCAGGGCTGGAATACCTGGGCTAGTCTCACCAGGTGCCCACGGAGTGCGTGTGAGACAGGACCATGGGTGAGGGGTGGAGGGCTGGGTTGGGCCCCAAGGGTTGAGCGCCAGGGAAGGCTTTGGGGTCACCCAAGGTGAGAGGAGAAGCAGCAGAGAAGTACAGGCCCCTCACACACCGCCCTCTGTGCCCGCAGGTCTTCCTGCCGTCTTTGTGGCCGTGTGGGTCAGCGTCAGAGCCACCCTGGCCAACACCTGGTAGGTCCCGGGGAGAAGGGGACGGGGCTCTGAAATGGCCCAGAAACGCCCCCGTCGAGCATGTGAGGGCCCTCCTGGCCCCTGGCCCCAAGTGGCTCTGCTTCAGGGGTTCTCAGTCCAGCCCCCAGGCTGGAACCCCTCGGAGTCGCAGGAAGCTGCCTCCACGGGAGCCTCGGGGGGCCACACCTGACACCCCACCCCACGTCCCCGACACCTAGTGTCAGAAGGGACCGACTCCAGGGCCCGTGGGTGAGCTGAGGAGGGACAAGAGTGGGCTGACGCCGCAACCCCCCGCAGGTGCTGGGATCTGAGCTCCGGAAACAAGAAGTGGATCATCCAAGTGCCCATCCTGGCGTCCGTCGTGGTGAGCAGGCGGGCGGCTGGCCGCACAGTGGGCAGTGAGGACTGGGCCCCAGTGGCCAGCCCCTGACAGGGGCCTGCCG